CATGAATTACATACAGTGGCTTTGATATAAATTGCACACTGTAGTATTCCCTAACGTTTTTGTTTGATCTGCATCACTCTTAGCTGAAAATGAACAGAAAAACTCAACAACCATAGGGATAATGAGACACGGACCACATGCAGTTTCAGTGGAAAAAAAAAAAAAAAGAGTCTCTTTTGCAAAACTACAAACAGCGGAAAAGTCAAGGTTGAAAACGCTACATGTTTGAGAAAGTTACCAGCTTTCTTTACAGTAAAATAAGGAACGCTAATTTTGTTTTAGCAGAAAAGAGGGCATGGTCTAGCGGTTTGACCTTCCTACCAGCATCACCACTGTAACGCTGACTTTTTTCATGTTCCTTGGCAGAGCACTGTAACACTGTATCCTCATTCCTTCCTGACTATAAAAGCATCTATATCTATCCATTAACACAGTGCTATGCCTGCTAAGTGCTCTTGGGCAAATCATATCAAACTTTGTTGGCCCCCGTGGTCTGTCACATCTATTGAGACTTAACTTTCCCAGGATGTCTTTACCTCCATTTGAGCAGTAGGTAGCCAGAAGATGGACCATTTCCGCGGGATAACACAGTACCATTACTGACTTAATATCGCTTTATGTTTCTTCTTTTTTCTTTCTCTGACTCTAGACAGTCAGGATTTATGACTCCTCTCTGTTGTCCAATTGCTAAGCCATGTGATCGCAGTAAATAAATAGTGGGTAGATATGGGTCTAGTCAGCTTCTGAAGAGCACCTGCAACTCCTGCTGCAAAAAGCTGGGAGAAATGCCAGCGCCGTGATATCCTACCCTTCCTTCCGTTTTCTTTGAGTCAACAAAAGATTCTCCGAAGACCCAGAAGGCTGGGACCTGCGGGAAAGACGCTACAGTCTGCGGAGGCTGGAGGTTGTGGCTGGTGCTGTGTCTACCCTACCAAGTCCTCAGCTAAAGAAGAGGGCAAGTCACAGTTTCTTGGGAGTATTAGGTCTGACGAGCTTGCAGTCATAAGAGGAACTGGGAAGAACATAAAACGTGCAAGGCCATTCCCTGGTTGTTCTGTCGTCCGCAGGTATCAGAGGACTGGAAGATACCTTAATTTTGCAGAGACTAGGAATTAATCCTGATGCATAAGGCAGAGTGTTGGAACCTCATTCATTGGGAGCAACTGAATTCCCATTACCCTCTGTGTCCGTAATTTTTTGAGTAATAAGAGACTTTATCCTCCTAGTTTGAAGCATGCAAAATGCTGTGTAAACACTCACACTGCTACTTATAGATTATCAAAGCAAAGAGAAAAATTGAGATTGTTAGGGAAGGAAATGACATTTTAAACTCATCAGTGGATGCATAAACAATGGAAAAATGTCTAAAATGCCTTATAAATAGACCATTTCCTGCTAAATGGCTCCTTTTTTTGGCTTTTTGAAGTGCCAGTAGCAAGCTACCTAAGGAGGAGATTTGAAAATGTATTAAAATAAGAACTCAGTAGGCAGGAAAAAACATAGTTTTCCTAGCTGTAAGCTGTGTTTTGCTTGCTGGGAACCTCAACAAACTAATCACATTTTCATCCCTGACACTCAGTTCATGGAAATATCAGAAAGACAAAGTCAAGTGCTCAGAAAAAGGCAGTCATTACGAAGGGATGGGAAATTCTGAAACCTGTATCCTGTGCTTTTACTTGTCAGACCTTTAAGGAATAGGAAATCTGTAGACTCTTCAACGGTTATTCATTTCTTCCATTTTGGAGCTCAAGAAAATTACTACATCAGAGAATTTATTTCAATTAAAAGCATTTATCCAAGTAGATCAACTGCAACATTTATCTGACAGTTCATTTTTGATACATTAATTTACCTCCGGCTATAAGCATATTATTTTAAAATCATATGAAGAAGTTAAAATCAAGATTTAGCATGTGGTTTTATTAAACAGCAAACTGTCATTGTTTGCAATGGGGTTAACTTAGAGTAAGCACTAGGAGAGGGAGCAGAGGATGGGCTACATCTTTATGTGATGGTAATGCCAATCCCTCCTGCTCCCGTTTTCTTAGAAAGATTCAGACGCCTGTCAGTGAAAGGCTGTTGTGTTTTAATTAGCATTGGAATGACATTAGAGATTTACATACCAGAGCGTGCTTCTCAAAAGTTATTTCTTACGTTATTTTAAATCACAGAATGGTCTTTAAAATAGCACCTCATTGTGACTGCCCAGTGGTTTTTTTTTACCTAGAATGTAAGTTTTTGTTGGTTCACTTTTTGGCTTGAGTCATTCTCAAAACACATTTCACACCTCCCCATCAGCCACCGGCTCGTGGCAACTGAGTTTTTGCCACCCGAACTGTTTAACTTCAAAGGTTAAGAAAACAAAAAGGCGCCAGAACATAAACATCTTTATATAGTAATACATACCTAGCATACCATTTTCATCAACGCTTCACTGCAGCTCCCAAAGCTCTAAAATAGTAGCTGAAATTTTATACGTTTGTTCTCTCCCGCACTTTCCTATAATTTAAAACTAGGAAGTCTCCCTGGATGTCTACATTAGTAGGGAAGGCTGCCTTACTGAATGTTATTGATGTATCAGACACCACCGGATACCATTTTTATGAATTTTATACCCTTCTTTGAGGGCTTTACAAACCCACAGACATATTCAGCTTCTCTTTCAGTTTGCTGAACCACCTGTGTTTCTTCTTACGATGAAGTTGGTTGCATAATGGGTGAATTGGATTTAATGAGTTTTGCTAGATGGGTGTCCCTCCAGGGTACTCCCTTCCAATTCAGTTACGCAAGTAGAAACGTCATTTCCCCTCACAGTACCTGAAAGCATGGTAAGCTTCCGGATAATCACTGAGAGTTCTTTTCAGCTCACCTTAATTTGGGAAAATATTTAAAGTAATTTTCTTTTTTTTTTTTTTCCCCGCCCACCTTGTGTTTATATCTTCCAGCCATTCCTTGCCCTCCCTGGATGTGAGGCTGGAAGTCCCAAAGGAGCCAAGCTGCAGGACACTTTCCTGGTTTGTCAACCTGTAGAAGAAGTCAGGCTTCAAAGCTTTTACTCTTATTCACCTCATGTCCAGCTCAACTGTGGACAAGTACAGGTGCCCACAGCTTTAACAAATTCCATCTCTTGGGACAAGAGGCAATACCAACTATTCACTCACTGGAAGCCACATGGCCAGGTCCCAGTTTAGCAACATCTGGCTTTCCAAGCAGAAAAAAGAATGAATAACGCCGCACAAACAGATGACATAACTTCATTAGTCCCCTGAAGCGTACAACAGACAGCTAACATTTTTCTCATACTGAAGCCAAGTACTTATGGTCATGTTTCCTTCCAGGTCGCAGTTGGGATGGCAGATGTTCTCCCAGTGTGTTATTCACTTCGCATCCTGCGGTCAGGATTGCCAATTTATTCAGCTTCCAGAGGATAAACAGGAGTTAGCTCAATGAAGCAATTGTTCATCCCACTACAAATTGCATGAGATAATTTTGCAGGCTTCTATTGGATTCCTGCTTCAGGGAAGCTAACAAGTGAAAGAGTGAGGAGCAGACCTGGTGGCACAAAGCAAGAGGTGCTTGCACTTGCTCTCGGTAAGGATGCCTCCTGCTCTCCTGCATGGCTTGAAGGGCACTGGAAAAAACATTTCCTACTCATTGTTAGGTCATTAACATGCCATTAGACTCATCAATGCTAGTTCTCTATAAACTAATTTGTGTGATCGACAACAACAGCTAAATTCAATGCTCTTTGGCAGATAAGGCACATACAGGTTTATCCTGAGACATTACAAAACAGCTTTGCTAGGGTTGTAATAAAAACAAAAAACTTGACAAAATGTACTGATAACAGCTGATATTGTTCAGCTGAATATGTTGAGTAATGAAAACTCAGGATGTGTTGTAGAATATAGCAACTTAGAAAAGGAAAAAAAAGATGAGCTGATAGATAGGCTGTATCGAAGGCAGGGCTGTGCTTAGTACCCTTGTGCTGTTTGGAACTGGGCAGAAAGATTTCCAGTCTTCACAACAAGGACAGATAGCCAGTAGTCTATTTTGTTGTTGTCCCAGCCTGAACCGTAATGCTCTTTCAAACTATAGCAGTGTGTAGGAGAAGACCCTACCAAGCATGTTACTGTTTCTGTAGATGTACACCATAACTTTCTGCATTTTTCACGTTTCCTGGAGCTTGTGGAGTTGGAAATCTCCAGTAAATGTCTGATTTGAAGAAAGATTATCAGGGATGGCACAGAACAAGCACCCTTGTTAGGTATGTGCAGTCTTGAAGCCCTCCAGAGGCAGAACCCACCTTTGTACCAGTCTTGAAATAGTGAGATACCACCAGGTAAATACAACAGCGGAGCAGCAGAAGGTAGTCTATAGGCAGAGGGTGCCAGTGATGCAACGGATAAATACCTTTTGGGAAAACTGAAAATGAAAGAAACCAACTGGCTTGGGATCTGCGAGACTAAACCAGAGAGTTTCATTGCCCCGTTCAGAAGATTTAATTACACCTTCTGTTGGAATACTTGTTGAGATAACTTCTCTGGCTATCTATCTCGTGTATCCTTGAAGCTATCCACGATGATAGTGAGGCAGTGAGGGTGGTGAGGCAGTGGCAGAGGTTGCCCAGAGAAGCTGTGGATGCCCCATCCCTGGAAGTGTTCAAGGCCAGGTTGGATGGGGCTGTGAGCAACCTGGTCTGGTGGAAGGTGTCCCTGCCCATGGCAGGGGGGTTGGAATGAGGTGAGCTTCAAGGTCCTTTCCAACCAAACCATTCTGTGATTCTGTGATTCATTCTACGATATGCATCCTGACGATCCATGAAAACTCATGTTAAAATCGGTAGGCTAATGACCTATAGAGTGTATTTAATATAACACAATTTCACCAAGGGTCTCTCTCAGTGAAGGACATTATCTTTCCATGGGATAAAATGAGCATTACTAAGCACAGTGTATTGTCATTAGAGATTTTTTTTTTCTTAGAAAGACAACTAATGTTCTCTTCTAAGACTTCTGTTGTGTAAACACTTTCAGCTCAAGATTAAGTTCCCAACCTTCTCTTGGATAAGCTAACTAGGCTGAAGTCTTCTTGTTAGACCTATTTTTGGCCTTGGATACTTTGTGATCGCTTTGAACTTTCTCCAAATTTTTAACACTGTAAAGATGCTGGACGTGAGAACTGGTTACATTTTAGAAGTAATCTTTCCATTAGCCGATGCAGAAATAATATAAATGTTTTTATACACACATGTCTTTGCAGCCACCATGCGTTCACATCTTTCTGTTCACTTACAGTGATTTTTAAAGTCCTCCTCAGAGATAGCTTTCTACACAGCCAGCTGTGCAGATCTGGTTTTACTAAACTTGCTTTCCTGACAAAGATCATTTACTTGGAACAAACCAAACCAGACCTGAGTCTGTATTTAAGTTTACAGTACCTCCTCCTCCGTGGGTCTCTTTTGGAGAGTCTCCAACTCAAAGTTTGAAAGTCACCTTTACCGAGGCTGAAGCTGGAAAGTTTCAGTCTGAAAACAAAGGCTCCATCGAAGCTAGAAGCAACTCAAAATAAGTTACATAGTGTGGGAAAGCTAAGCAAGCTACTTGCGTTGTTTAGACAACTCTGAATATATGAGTCACAGGCAGTAAGGAACGGAACCATCCTTTAAAATGTAAACTCAGAAGCCAGCATTTGGGACAGCTTAAATACGCTTTTGTTGCTCGCTTGTAGATGTTGGTTACTATAGCTTCCTGATGTAGCCATTATTTTTAATGTATATCACACATCGACTCAAAACCATTCTGCCTGGAAAGAATTACCGGAGGCTAAGATGCTGTTCTCGCAAAGACTGTTTTTTAGTTTAATATTACAGACCACTTATTTAAGTAGCTTTGCCAGTTGAATCACAAGATCATACAGCTATGCCCGTCTCTGTAGTTCTTTGTGTGTATGATGATGTCATGTGAAGAGGTACTGACGTATGTAGCATTTTGTCTAAATTAGGTTATTTGCAAACCACCCCAGAGTTCATCATGTCAGCTCTAAAGCCTCTGTATCTTTTGTTGAACCATTTTCCTCTCATTTTGAAAACATACCAAGAGAACTGGTTGATGTTGTTCTGGAGGAACTGGAGCTTTGTGGAACGTTGCTGGAAGCCAGGCCTGGAGAGTGACAGGGTGATGCTGGCTTTGAATTGCCCAGTTGTGAGGCATTTAGCTTTTTGCAGGATTATTTTGCCATCCACAGATGATACAACATTAAGTGAGGAGCTGTATCCATAGCAGAAATATTTACAAGTGTACTTTGTTTTGGTAATGGTGTAAGAGGAATCACGTAGAAAACTTGACTCTAAAACGCAGTAAGACTGAACGTGTATTTTGAGTAAATCCGTGTCACATTGCTAGGAAGCTGGTCTGGCTGAGTTGTCCTCGTGCAGAAATGTCTATCAGTTGTCCCATCCTTGGCTCTACAGAAGTCTCCGGTATTCGGTCTCCTCGCTCAAGCTCTGTGCCCTCCTCCCGCCTTATTCTTGCTACTTCCAGAGGCACTGTTCCTCCTTGCTTTACTGCTCTCCGTGCGCAGCGTTTTTAAGGCCGTAGCAATTTATCTAAAACATCTTTTTGGTCAAAAATGTCAAGTAGGCAACATTGGTATGGATCTTGGTGACTCCTGTGATTGAGAAATGCTCGGGGAGATAAGGTTGTTGCAATACTGTCTTTGTTCCCAGTGATAAATTTAAAGTGACGCTTCTAAAGCAGTCAGTTCGAATCCCAGAGATTTTGCTTTGGAAAACCTTTAAGACTAAACTGTTTGAAAACTTTGTCGAGTAAATGCCAGTTGGAACACTAAAAGACAAAACTCTTTCCGAGTTTTGAAAAATTTAGTCTTGGACTTTGTCCTGAGTGAGAGAAGAAAAAGAAATCTTAATCCGAAGCTCTTGAGAGCCTGCAAACATGAAAATGCTTTCACATTTAGCTGTTGATTTCTTTTGCTTCATTTTTGGTGCTTCACCCTTTGAATAAAGCTCACCAAGTGGCAGTCTGTAATTTGTAGGCAGACTTTTCTCCTAAGGGTTGGACTTTGTTTTTCTCACTTTATGTATTATAGCCTACTCCAGAAATTGCAAAGACCCTTAACAGCAGGGTAGGTGAGGGTCGTACGAGCATGCACTCAGGGGAACCTACTGAACGTGTGGTTCCCAGCAGAGAACAGCAACATCCATTTGCACAGTGGGTTTCCTATCTGCTGAAGTCTTTCTTGTTAAGAGTATTAAAAGTATCGTATGTGTAAATTGTCTTTGGGATGTTAAAAGATTACCGTGTTATTGCCAAGAGTGAGCACGCAGGATCTGCTTCCAAACAAATGCAATAACTGCTTGCTTTTCGTCCAACACCAGATTGCCTCTTTCAGCTTTAGTAGTATGTTTAAAGTTAGTGAGATGGTTGTTGCTGTTTTGGGGGCTGTTTACTACGAGTTTTGGGAACAAACTGATATTAAAGCTGGAGTTTAGCTCTGATTCTCCCACTGACTCGCGATGATGGCGATCCTTTTTTATGCAGTCATTAGCATATGCAGAGGAACATCTTTCAGCATGATTTATCCTAATTTACATAAACCCAAGATCAATGTGTGTTGCACCTTCAACTTCTACCTAATATCCACGTCCTCCTATAGATGCTTTGTGGTCCGTCACCACCATCATCACATGAACCCAGGCACTCCTATGAAAAACAAGAAAAACTCCTTGGAAGCAAACTTCTGTGATAACTGCTGCATCAGAGATGCTCCCGAGGCCGGTGGCCTCGCCAGTGCCTCTCCTAGGCTGAAAAAGTTGGAAGTTCCTTGGCGAGCTCTTTGATAGGCACTTTTTCTCTCTGCTGTGGGAAGGATTGGTGCAGGATGAAGATGCTGACCCACTGGTGTCTACTTTTGCTTTGTTCTTTTTGGTCAGCATGGGTTAACCCATCTGTTCTTTCATTGCCTTTGCTTACCTTCTTCCTTGTCAGCGTAGCCGAGCCGCTGGGCTAACACAAGTGCACCTCTCCTACCTGAGTGCACCAGGAGAACTGGCCTCTACAGACAAAGGTGTGGCATTTTTTTAACCCCTCTTCTCTTTCTCCTCTTTCGTGGCAGACTGCTGCCTTACCCAAACGACGAGCGAAGCCAAACTCCGTTCCAGAAGCATTGCTGAGTCTCCGGCTAGTCCTGTGAGCAGCCTGCCAGCTCCACGAGCCAAACCAAATGCTGCATTGGCCCTAAGGGAGGAGGACGAACCATTTTATGGCAGCTGGAAAAGGTCACGCAGTGAACACCAGTGCTGCTGCTGATCCCTTGTCCCAACTGATCCAAGTAGCTTGGATGTGTCTGTGGTATGCATGTGAGCAAGCGGTTCAAAGCTCTCTCCTGGCTCTTCGAGATTTGGGTTACAAACTACAGAATTAGCAAAACTTAGTTGATTAATTTGGGTTTGTTCTAGCTAGTTTGAGACTGGTCATTCAAATGAGATGGGTCTCAAGACCTCTAATACTTGAAAACCTTTGTCTTAAAATACACAGTCAGCCTTTCCTGCATGAATCTGCACAAGGTCCAGGGCTTTCTGGCTTTGTTTGTTTATAAGCATAGGGGCATTCTGTGAGATTATAAATATCTAAAAGTCTAACGCTGTTTCACAGTCAAGGCACATACTAGAAATCTCCTAATTTGGCTTCTCCTAAGAACAGAACCGAGCCGTTGCCATTCTTGTGATTAGTTTTCGTATTATGAGTTTAGTAGCCCTTCCCTTCTGCTTCCACAGTTGGTTTTACAATGTGTTTACATGTTCTCATTTCTTTCAGCCTTATCTCTCTGCAGGGATGTATTTGAGAGATGCCTTGAAACATCCAATAATGCTACTGATCTCAAACTCTTGTCTTTAAGAAAGTTTTGCTTGTTCTGTATGCTACTGATAACATTCTGCAGAAGAACAGGTAAGTTTTATTGTCCCAGAATGCTTCCTACTCTTCCCCTTCCCCCAAAAAAAATATATTTATGCCAGAATGGTATCTCATCTAATTATATTTTTTGCAGTCTTTCCATGTTAAGAAAATTATTTGCAAGCTTTGACATGTCAGTTTAAAAAAATAAGACAACTTTTTCCTGCTCTCTATTGCTGCTGTATCCACTTACATACCATAACATGAAGATGTCCTTTATGTTCTCCAGTGACATCATTTGGAGGGGCTGGGATGATGAAAGCTGTAAGAAATAGTCAGCTCTGGTTGAGGAACTATTCGTGCTACAGCGGGTCACCATTCAAAAAAAAACAAAACCACATCTGGAAATATATACGATCTTGTGTTTGGAATTGAGTCATTCTCAAAGTAATGTTAAAGAAGAACCAGAGAGGCTGATGAATACTGGGAAAAGTGAACTAGTACAGTGATGCGAACTGCTGAAGATACGGAGGACCTACGTCCCCGGTGACCCTTCTGGGTCATTAGCTACCTGAAAATTTAGGGAAAAAATAGAAAGGAAAAAAAAAAAGGAAAGAACTATTCCAAGGTACGTTTGATGCCTGTTATCTTTCAAAAATTATTTTTTGTTCCCAGTGCTTGTAACACTTGCAATGGCATTATTACAAAGAAGGAAAACACCTGATGCTGCCCTTTCCTGTAGGGCTGCTAACCAGGTAAAATTTAAATCTCTACCAGAGCTGTCTTGGTTAAGGTTTGGTGAAGGTCTGGTCTGTGCTGATGAATTAGCAGCTGCAGGACTACACTGCATCTCAAGAGGGCGCGTGTGTAGATCCGCACTCTAAATAGGCTACATTAAATGAGATTAAGATTTTTAAATCATTTAGAAACTAAAAATGGGTGCCTGGGCAGCTGCCCTAACACATTGCAGAAGTCAGCCATGACCACACGCTACTTTTGACCCTCCTCCTTCTAAGGCGACAGCTCCTGGGATCGCCTGCCCACTGCTTTTCCTCCGTGGGTTTCTGAAACTCACGTCAGACTTGGTAAAACTGGCTCAAGGGCTGAGCTGCACAGGTAATTTTCGATGAGTTTGAACAGTGCAAATAGGCAGACAACCACATGCCGTGAACTTGCATACTTTCAAGTCAGTTCCATAGCAAACCACGTTCCACCAGTTCTGGGGTCCCTAAAAGAATTGCATTTCTTAATCGGATGTCTACTTTGCTTAACAGAGAGCCTGAGTGGTACCCACCGAATGCACAACTGATTCATCACCATCCTCATTTCATCCATTTTACTATAAATAAATGTTTATATTTGATCCACTACTACGTACATTAACATTTCCAGCATGATCTCTTAGTAGTCCTCCAAGTGAGAGTACATTGGTTCAGTGTGAAAACTAAGGAATGTGTTATTCCCCTGCCTCTAGTGAGCCAGGTGCTTTTGTCACCATTTTAGGGGTAAGGATTAAGGTAAAAATTGCTCGGTGGGGAAGAAAAGATTGTTTTGGTTGAATAGTCTGCAGCTTGTTTTCCAGGCTATTTAGCAATTTGGAAGTACTTTGGAATTGCAGTTTTCCTTGCCTGCGTATCCCCAGGGTAACATGCAGATGCCTTGCACGTTGCACGCAGAATATAAAGAACATACAATTAACGTGAAACTGGATTAAATCTTCTGTCTGGAATTATGTGGGAAATCCAGCAGTTTCAGGGAGAAACATCTCTTTTCTCATGTAAACGAGCATATAAATTCCTTAATTATGACTTCAGTGATTAAGTACCAGAAGTACTCGCGACCAGAAGTATTTTATATTTTAAGAGGGGTAGTGGGGTAGAAGTATATTGGGCAAAATGTTCTATTTGGTATCTGGCATGGTATAATAAAGATTTTTTTTGCTTTTTACCACAATGTGTCCTTATATTAGATAACGTATTGTGTTTTCATCCTCACTTTTATATCCGTGGTCTTTGGTTGTCCTGAGACTTTTGAGCTCTGATCAGCACCTGGTATTTATGGATTCTTTCTTCCACTTTGGTTCCTTCAATTCATCTTCAGTTGGATTAGGAGAACTCCTAACGTCAAAGCCTGCCCTTCCTCCCACTACAGATGCTCATTATCATACCAGCAAAGCTCGTACTTCCACAGTGCCAGATTTCTGAGTCACTCGAAGATTTAAAAAAAAAAGAAAGTTTATAATGGTGCCTTGGAAAGTATAACATCACTGGGAGTTTCTCACAGAAGTTTCCTTCTGTGAAGAAGAGCATCCGGCAGGCCATGCTTATACAGTTCCCACCGTGGAGAGTTTGGATCATCTTAGCTCCTCAAGTTCTTTCTTCCCCCCCTCCCCACCTCCCAGAATTGATCAGGCCTGCAGAGCAAAGAGGTGAAAAGTGGAGGACAAGTAGAAAACAGACGTCAAAAACATCTTCAGGGATGTCGCTTCTCAGTGCACGGAACGAAGCAGAGTTCCTATGTAAGAAAGCATAGAATTAAAACCACAATAAACCCACCGTGAAATGGTGATCTAGATTATAGAGTACTTAAACTCCATCCAAGCAGTTTTGGCCCTATCTGTATAACGTTTGTCAAACAAAGCTTATGAAGGCGGCTACGCTGGAAGAGCTGTGTTTAGACTTCAGCACTTGTTTTCAAACACGAGTCAAAGCCCAGAGCCTTGACATTTCATGAAGCTAAAGTTTATTTTGAGGATTTGGAGGTAGCAAGCAGGCGGTCTGAGCAGCTGAGCACAAAAGGAATAACCAACTGAAGTGGTTATTGCGCTGGAATTATCCATACTGCAGCGTGAAAATGGGCAATCCGTTGAAAGAGGAATTGTCTTTTAAGATGCTTTACAATAAGTAACATCATCAAAACTCCAACACTTGAGGTATCTCTTCTTCTTCCTTGGAAGCCTTCCTAAACTCCTAGGTACTGCCTACTACAGAACTTTCCAGGACTGGACCTTCAACTTTTTGTTCTCCATCCATAGGTGGGAATTCTGGGCCATCATTAGTAATAGCGGCAAATGGCACAGAGCTACACGACCCAATCTACTCTTCTTCTTTCTGCTCACCATAGTTGAGAATTTCTTTTTCTTGCAAGTTCTTTCCCTGGAAAGTGCACTGATGCAGTTGAGTCAACTCTTACTCCCCTTTACCTCACCAAAAAAACCCAGTTGGCTACACTGAGCAACTCATTCTTTTAGTAGAAGGTAAGAGGAACAACGGGGAATTACACACCAGACACTGAATACAGGTGTATTCAGATGTGCAGCTCAGATGTGCACGAAAACAGGAGCTAAAAAAAAAAAAAAAAAAAAAGCAGTTCTTTGTGTATTTTCCAGTATAGTTTTTCCAAATGTCTCTTTGCAGACGGCAGCGTGGGAGGAAAACTTGGAATTCCAAAATACAGTCCTGGTATCTAAAAAGCTCTTTGCAAAAGCAACTGACTGCAGGAAACAGAGCAGGGCAGGAGATTTCTAAAGTGCTCTTAGATTTGAAACTTGTTTGGTTTTTTCCCCCCAGTTTGCTCAAATGTAGGAAGTGGTGCTCACTCTT